CATGTGGTTTTGCTTCAATCATCGGAGAAACATTAAAAAGGTTGAAATGTTTGAAAACGACGATTTGTGTCCCATCACAAATAGTTTAGATGGAAAAAAAGCGTAAATTAAATTATTTCAAATATCACACAAATTTATTTATTAATTTCATATTTTCTAGCTTATCTTTATCAACATAAGCAAAATAATCTCAAAAAGTCTTAAATAATTTTTAAATAGATTAAAATTTCATTAAAAAAAAATTCAATTTGATAAAATCTCATTATAATGGATAAACTTTCAGAACCATTAATTTAAAATTAATTTTTTAATCTACTTCTATTGCATTTCAATGGAACTGAATATGTTCTAATAAAAATGTTCCTAAGTGCTTTTATGAAATTACATTTGTACTTTTAAATTATGATAAAGGGTCACCTTTTACAACTGTTATCATAAAAAACGGAGCGACCAAGTGATCTTATATCAGCATACTCTTGTTTCGGACAAAGCTTATTAGATCTTTCAATGTCACGTTTCCTTTTCAAAGAAAAAAAAATTAACAGTTTTTTTCATGATATTTTATGCATAGCATACTTACTCTCTAGAAGGCATTTGCATTATATCAACAGATACTGATTTTACGTATAAATGATCATTGCACCAAAAAAGACACAATGTCCGAGGTTCCAATACATTCATCTCGTGAGACCAGTTCAATTCAACCTATTTTTATAATTAAACAATTTAAATAGATATTAATTGAGGTTTATGCTTTTATGTTCACCTTATTAACTCGATCAGCTAGCTCATTTGCGTTTGTAACAACAATTATATAAGATTTACCATGTTCAAATCTCTGAGTACCTTTGGGTGTAAGGTCTAGATTTCTTAGATTTTTCCCACGTTCACTGAAAAGTCCTGCACTCAGGAATCCTTGTACCCATTGTTCAGCAACCCTTGGTTTGGCAAGTTCGATAATAAATCTGTAATGACGTTGACAATATGGATCTTTTCCTGTCATAAGAAAATATTTTCCAGGTTGTGGAACAATAGGATAACTGTCCGATAATATATCATTTTCAGTTTGCTTGGAATTTTCATTTTGAGTATTGGCATATGGAAGCGTTGCATGATAGCCCATTAGGGCACAGTTTCCTGAATTACACTTGAAACATTTTCCAGCTGTGAAATGCTGATATGATGGGCATCGATGTGCAACATAGGAGCAATTGCCATTGATTGAATCAATAAAAAGTTTTACTGCACGAACATGATTACATGCTAGAAGAACTCGACTAGCTTCTTCAATTCCATCCTTAATTAGAGTAAGTGGAATTAAAGCACTACTTTCCTGAGATAATGCACAGCCTGGTTGCTCCTTTCCGTTATTTGGATAAAAATCTAAATGTCCACATTGTTGCGACATTCCATAACCAGGAATTTCGAGAAGGAAAAAGCTTCTTGCATCTGTGTGAATGACATCAATAAACTATGAATAGGAATAGAATTTAAACAAATAAATTAAAGCTACTTCTTATTTAATGTTAAATGTTGAAAAAAAAAACTTACTAAAGCATCCGACGGATCTAATCTCACATTTGTTGGCATACCTTGAAAATAAGGTTCAGCAGGATCAAGTGCAGTTATTCTTCCAATATTTTTAACTCTTTCACCGGCATAAGCTGATAAATGTGCTCCTAAAGAATGTCCAATTAAATGAACATCTTCTGGTTGCAATCCATGTTCATCAATAAGCTTTTGAATTAAATATGCTAACTCTAATCCTACCAGTCTTGTATTGGCTGTTGCTTGTGTATATAAAGGAAGCGATCCACCAGCCCAATCAACAACTATTACTAACATTCCAACCTCATTTTGCTTTGAGTATTCTAGTAATTCATTTTTCATATCGGATACCCAATTTGAAAGCGGCGTATCAATGAAACCGTGAATGATGAATTTCACTTGTTGTTTAGACTTAAAATTGGAATCAAGAATACTGTCCTTGTCTTCAGGATTTAATATTTGGCCAACGTTAGGATTATTTTCAGTGTACAAGATAAACTTTGTGTTAATCACATTTCGAGGTAATGGAAACACGTTAAATGGCCGGTGAATCAAATGATACCACTCTCTTGTAATATTCAAACAGCCAATCTCTCCGTAACATCGTGTCTCGTTTTCAACTAATTTTGTGGAAAATAAATAAATCACACAGAAATTATACATGTGCGAAATATTCGTTTAAAAAAATTATATTTAGTGAAAGGAACTTGACACTATAAAATAACTGAATAAATTAATATTTGTGTGAAATAAAATTAATTCTAATCTATCATCATCAAAGCATCTGTTTTTTTTAAACATGTTGTTAATAAAAATATTTAAACTTACGTTAGATATGCACTTCATCATTAACTTAAAGATGAAAGGCTTTTTAAGAATTTCATAGCGTTTATTTCGTTTACCGACTAGTTTCGATTAATTTCATACATCAATAACATATGAATCACAACTTTATTTTCTCATAAACGAGATCTAAGTACTCTTTTTCTTTTTGAACGAAATATAGAAATAGAAGCAGCTTGAGACTTTTCTCTTATTCAAATATTTAAATATAGCATTTGTAAAAAATCTGCTAGATATTTTTAATTCAAATATTATAACTCACACATTGCTTCACATGATTACATAATTAATACCTATTTATTTAT